GGGGGGGGGTATTGTTGTTTTAAAGCAAAATTTTGTCCGTTTTTCTGTAAATGGATATTGTACATTTCGCCATGGAGTCCTTAAATGTTTGGGTGCGCCGTGTATTTACGGTAAAGCTGTCACAGAGACGCACGGCTCTCTTGTCAAACGCACGATGATACACACATTCTAAATCATACCCCTCCCTAAATGGCCGCTATGAGAAGGCTTTATAAAAAATGATAGACAGCCATTAACGGGAATAGAGGGGAAGCTTGCGTGTCGATCAAAAGGCAGATAACTCTCACAACAGAAGAAGTAACTACAGAGAAGGGAATTAACTCCGTGTCACGGGTACCACTCGGGGGCGTCGCTCAGTGGTAAGCTAAGACGTAGGGGGGACCGCAAGGCTGTCTGTTCTCACCGTGTCTATCGTTCCATATGGACGAGAGTGAAAGAAAATTGGGGTGAACGAAATTAACTTTCGATAAAATTATAATGTGTTACACACCACACTGTAACTCAAGGAATGTCACTGGGCTGGGGGGTCCATGGAGTTTTCTAACCACACATGTTTACCAGCGGTTCTCCCACGCCTTTTTTTCTGTGTCTCTCATAAACTTACTAATGTACCCTTGGAAGAAAGGTTAGAATCTCTGATGTTGCACTCAATGTGTGTGTTCTTCTAAGAAGCAAAAACAAAAAAAGAAAGAAAAAAAGAAAAAGAAACAAAGATGAAAACAAAACAGACAAAAAATCGAACCGTAAAGCCCCGGATCTAATGGGATTGCACCAGCTACCCTTTCAAGTGCTTTGTACCCATGGTAAAATTAGTGAGATTACGTTGCGCTCGTCTCCGAAGGGGATAGTACGGGTTCGAGCCTCATGTTCGGACCGGGATTTTTTTCACCCCCCTCCTGCCCACCCAGCAGTAATGAGTACCTGACTTCGAGTTGGGGTAGTAAAGGCATGGTGGAAAGGAACTGGCCACCCTACCACAAAAATATCCCAAAGGCCCAGGAAGTTGTCTAACTTACAAGGCAATCCCCAATGTCCGGATCGGATACGGGAACAACTTTTACGAATAGTTTTTCGTTGGTGGTGTTTGGAGTTTGGATTTTTACGAATTTTTTTTCAAACGTGAATACTACCTCAGGAAAAAAACTCATTAAAAATGTTCCAGTACGTTTAGGAAAAATTCATCACATAGAATTGCAGATCTATGGTTTGACAAGATGCATACAAAAATGATAAATTTATGTCCATGAAAAATAAGTGTGGTATTAATTAAGTAAGACGTATCAACAAACCCTGTATAGCCGCCGTAGAAAACGAAACTTTTTTTCTGAAATTGATTGCAGAATTTTAAATTCCTTACTCTGCTTGTTATATGTTTGAAATTTGGTAATTTTTGATCCACTAATAATCGAGATAGCCTTCAGCTGTAGTCCCCCCCCCCCCCTTTTTTTTTTTAAATCGATAAAAATTGCCCAATGAACGGAAAAGTAACGGGTTTTTATATTTCTTCATTTTGCCGAGCACCTCCTTGGACCACGATGGAAAACAAAACATTTAGTTCAGTGCTGTTTGTGAGGCAAGAATAGACAGATATAGAAATTAATTCGTACCAACTACAGTGAGGTTACTGAACACACAGTGCTACAAATGAAACACACACAGAGAGAGAGAGAGAGAGAGAGAGAGAGAGAGAGAGAGAGAGAGAGAGAGAGAGAGAGAGAGAGAGAGAATGTTTTACGGAGCGGGTTGTCCAAGCACGTGAGACATGTATTTACTTGGCCTAATGTCCTGTCTCGTTGTGCGTTTGCGTGAGTGCACCTTTAGGTCTAACTTTTGTAACGTCTACGTCATTGTTAACGACCCACACATATTTCTCCCTGCGAGATGAATAAAGATTGTCAAGATTATAGTTTAGATACACACGGATATCCCAGCACAACATCCGTACTCTGAACTCAGCCACAGACCATGTTGGATGTTCATGACACTACTGCCGTAAGCTGACAAAACGACTTTTTTTTGTCCAGAGCAGTTTCGAGAAGTCAACTATTTTCGGTTTTCTTACAATGTCTCAACTACTTTGCACAGTACATCAACGTTTGAACTCGCACCCTTATCAGAATGTCATTCCCTATGTACAACATACATTTTGTTTAATTTCATAGAGAAATAAACAAATAATCACGAAAAAGGGCGTTTTGTCAGCTTTGCCTTACACGAGACGTTTTTAATTAACAAGAACGCCTTTTTTTAGACGTTCGCTGACAGAACGCCTTTTTTAAGTAAGTCACTGGCACACAAAAAGGCGTTGTGTCGGCGAACTCTCAAGAAAATACTACTGAATCATAACTTTTTATTGCTCCTCCTGAAGAGTGCCAAATTACTGAATTCAAACAATGAGACATAACTACGGCCATTAACGATAGTGAACCTAACACTGTTATTGCTCATGTAATAATATTACAGGGATGTATGGTCTCTTTTAAGGACAAGTGGACTAACCTAGATTTCTGTGGTTTCCAGAAATCTTGACCTACACCAAAGGTGGGCATTGCCCTTCCTATAGGTGGAGTTTTGTTTCATTGGTGTGTATATTTGTTTACGTATAGAAAAAACTCTCCTGGTCTTTTAAAGAAATTGAACAAGGGGCTAAAACTTTACCTTCAATTTTCTCAAAACAGTGTTTTTCGGGATAGCCCCCTTGTGCTTAAAAGCGAACAAATTTCTCTTGTTCTTTTCTCCAATTGTTTCTATTTGTCTGTCGCTCTATTCCAAGCACCAAATGTGAAGTGTGTAGACAAAATGAATTACTTCTCGGATTCAAGCCTTAAGAAAATAGATACATCACGCTTATAGGTGAAGTTTTTACAAATTATGAGTATGAAATAATAAAAGACAGGTTATAGTAAAAAGTATGGCATCAAAAGAAAATCTACAATTTTGACCATAATGTCTATTTTTAGCCAATATCTTCATATTTTGTGGATTGCGAGAAGCAACTCATTTTGTCAGCACGCCTCACAAATGGCTTTTATTGAATAGATGTGCTTCTTTTTACTTTTAAAACAAACAAAAGCGACCACATTATTACACTCTTGTTCTTTGTCCTTCAGGTTGTCGAGAGACGGCCTTTATCTACGCCATCACCAGCGCTGCCGTGTCCCACTCTGTGGCC